ATGTCTTCTGCCTCCTGATAGCATGTATGTTGTCTCCTATATCACGGAAGATAAGAAGATCTCCCAGACCCAGCTACTGCAGTTCTCTTCACCTGTCATTTTTCCTCTACCGCTTGCTCACAGGCAAACATGTCTGTTTGCCTCCTGTGTATTCTTCCACTCGCCCAGAGGTATTCCTCTACCATGCTTTCTTTCCTTCTTTCTTAACTTCTCAAGAGCCTTCATTTAACAATGGAGCATTCTCTTGCCTGGCGTTTTTTTAAATGCCTACCTCTCTTTGGCACCTTCACATCTGCTTTATGAACAAGTTCAGGTTTTCCCTATTCAAATAAAATGAAATGAAAATGAAAAATAAAATTTTCTCTAGCCTGATTTCCTTTCACTGCTCTACTATATTTCTCTTTTTAAAATTTTGTTTGAATTTATTAAATTTATTGGGGTGATATAGGTTAGTAAAATTATAGAGGTTTCAAGTGTGCAGTTCTATAATACGTCACCTAGTTATTACATTGTGCGTTCACCACCCAGAGTCAGTTCTCCTTCCATCACCATGTATTTGACCCCGTTTAGCCTCTTCTACCTCCCCCACCCCCTTAATCTCTGAAACCACTAAACTGTGTCTGAGTTTTTGCTTGTTGGTCTGTTGCTTTTAGTTTTATATCTGCTATATTTCTCAGTAGGAGAGCAATTATATCTCCTCACTCATTTACTTGAGCATTGATTTCTCAGTATGGCTTGTGTCCAACATGCAATCATTCTTAGCCTAGGAAAGGGAATTCTAAGAATGAGTGCCTACTCAGAAGCAGGATGATTAGTTTTGAGTAAAGATTAACATCCAAATTAAACCATTACAAACATAGCAGTATCCGTAATTGCTGTGTTTAAAGATTATTTTGTTGGAGAGAAGTACAAAGAAAAATGTGTAGGTAGAGAAGTCAGGGAGTATATCAGAAAAATTTACCAAAAAAGAAAGGGAAAAAATGGCATGAAATATGGGAAGAAAGAGTTGACAGGCCTGCCTTTGAGATGTTGTCTGAAGATTACAGGCATGACTGCCTTTAGGAGTCACATATTAGTAAATGTGCTTGGCTGCCACTGCTCATCATGGAACCAAGCAAAGTCCTCAGAAGTCTCTGCATGCTTTCCAGGCTGAAAGTCTCCTGTCTACACCCCTAGGTCACCACAGATTCTTAATACCTGGATGATTGTCATAGGGGTCCAAATGGAATACCTGGCTGCAGGCTGTTTTCTCTCCTTCTTAATTTACCCTACATGCTGATGCTGTTATCAGATGTTCTTTGTGTATTGCAAGAACCAAGAACATGTGAATGAATGAAATGACAAATGAATGAATGAAAAAAAATTCCAAAGTTACATAATCTCTGTGGCTTTCATGAATATTTTTTAGTGATGAATTATTTTTTTAAAGTATGCAGAAAAACATTGTTATTCTACCAGAGCTAAGAAGCTTTGGCAAGAGAGGGTGTGTGGAGCAGAGGAGGTCATTTTAAGATATATGAGGCAAAAAAAAAAGTTCTTTTCTTAAAACCAAACCATTAAGGAAGGAAATTTAAGTGTGTACACACACACACACACACACACACACACACACACACACACACAATTTCCAAAATTTAATTGCAAAACAGCATTTTGTGATCTGCTTTTTACAGAAAGCTATAAATTATATGGAAGTGCAAGTTTATTCAAGTTATAAATGGTGAAAGTCTCAACATATGCTGATGACACTGTAAGCAGCCAGTTCACGTACTAAACTGCCAATAAAATTGACACCAGTGCAGATCACCAATGGTTTTACAGAATCCCTCAAATCACAAGCTGTAACTTCCCACAAGGTTAAAATGCATCAAAATTATGAATATTTTACAATGCAATTTTATCTTATTATTAAAATTATTTTGTCTGCATATTGTTGGAAAAAGGATGTTAATGTTTTCATTACTGTGTTTTCATTTATAGTTTAGCAATTGCAGTTTGCATGAAGTATGTCAATATAAGAATTGTTTAATTCTTTTGTAATGGCACTCTCACTTTTTAAAATTATTTTTAGTAGTTTTTTAAAGTTTATATTTAGCTCTTAAATTCATTTAGAACAATCTCAACATGGTTTGAAAAAGACTCCGAGGATCCAACATTAGTTGAAAAAGTTCAAAATGCTAAAATAATATAAAAATAAATTTTGTGAAAGTGGAATGAAAATGAACTAAGCTTTTGATTTTTTTTTCCTATGGGAAATAATCTTAATTTTATGGAAAAAAATGATGTTGTTGGTTGTGCTTTTGGTAAGAGTATCAGCAGGAATTTTTAAAAAGGAATCTATAAGACATAGGAAGTCAGACAACAATCAGTAAACTGCTCAGGTCAGTTTGAACTCAGTAATCAGCAAGGTCTTTGTTTAAATCTGCTTATGAATAAATTACTTTGTTCATGTCAGTAAAAAATTGGAGCCTCAGAATCACCTTGGCAGCTGTGCAACATTTGACATGATCGTGTTTTTAGTGATGAATTATCAGATGGCATTAACTGCAAGTTTTTATTTTTCAAATGAGACATCATGCCCCCTGTCTCTGCAGACTGTTCATAGATCAGCAGGCTTCAAAGCTAGGAGGGACTTTCATTTTTATTGTGTGCTTCTTTCTATAAACTTTACTTCAACTTTTGTTCCTTGAAAAGGTTGGGGTGCTTTTCTTTCTCTAAAATTTGCTTTTATTATTGTAGATAATATTCATCCATTGTCTTTAACTCAGAATCACCATGTTTGTGGCAGGGGTAAGCAAATGTTCTCTGTAAAGGGCCAGAGAGTAAATATGTTAGTCTTGGCAGACATATGGTCTCTGCAGCAACTCTCATTTCTGCAATTATAGTGCGAATATAGCTGTAAGCAATACATAAACAAATGTGCTTGGGTGTGTGCCAATATAACTTTATTTACAAAAACATGCAGCAGGGAGAATTGGACCATAGTTTGCTGACCCCTGATCTAAGGGAGTACCTGTGTGTGGAGGCAGGGAGATAACAGTTTCAAGGATTTAAGAAATACCAATCTCCCATGCTGTATAATTCATTAGGTTTCAATGGCTCCAAGAATAAGTATTACAGTAAAAAGAAAGGCTATAGAAACCCAAATTTGTTTTTACTGGTTGCTTGTATAATAAGTCATAGTTTGTTAACTGAATAATCCCTTTTCTCAACAATCATCTGCTGATCACCTATGATGCAACAACCAACACTCTACTGTCAACAGGTGGATACAAAATAACTAAGCCTGATCCCTAGGGCCTACATCTTTAGAAAAAGAAGATATTTGGGGCTTTTGTATTAAAAAATAGGGTCTCTGATAATTTTTAGTTTGTCATCACCATGTCAGCCTTTTATATATGCTGCTACATTCAACATTGCCACTTCCTAACTCAGATCAGGGAAGGCAGTGTGTGACTTTGAACTTCCCATCACGCCCACCCCAAGGACTTTAGAAGGCAGTGTTCTTATTCGCTTATTTTATTTTTACTTAGGAAAAAGAGATTCAAAATACCTAGTGCACTGTGTCATACTTCTTTATTTTGAGGTTAGAGGAGAGTTGGGTTTCAATTCCTGTATCTTGCTGCAGTAACAATCTGAGCAGCCATTTCATTTCATTTCCCCTGGGGAGACAGCTGAGCTAGATAAATGCATTTTAAAATTCTCACTCTTTAAAACTCCTGCTTCTGGAGAACAGAGCATACAAACCTGAAAAAAAAAGAGCAGTGGCAGCAATTTACACATTCTTCCAGCCTGCCACTGCAGCTCAGCTCAAAAAAGCAACTATAGGGTTGGCCTGTTAGCTCAGTTGGTTAGAGCACAGTGCTGATAACACCAAGGTTGCCGGTTCAATACCAGCATGAGCCACTGTGAGCTGCGCCCTTCCTAAAAGAGTCAACTATGCCATTGTAGCATGAAAGCAATGTGTAACCAATGACCATGCTGTTCCCCAATAAAATTTAAAGAAAAAAAGTAACTATGCAGATATTTTTCTTAATGTTTCATTCCTATTTCTAACAGATTTCAAGCAATATTGCTAATCAAGTTTATTATCAACTTTAATAGCTGGTTAAATCATAAGAATTATTGAAGTGCTAGGATTTGAATTCACAGTCTTGAGGTAAGAAAAGCTCATCTCAGCCAATGAGGAAAACAAAGTTTTGTGGGGTTTTTTTTAATTTGAAGATGACAATAATGAAGATTTCATTATTGTGAATCTATGACACTAGAATTCATAGTAATTCAGTAAACTAGTTGAACTCTGAATTCCTTGGAAGATGCACTAATTAACATGTTAAAACAATAGGATTTACTGTACTTCATCTTTACATAACCAGTGATTTTCGTGACTTTTAGACAATGATGATTCTTGGCCATTTAAGCCATTTGTTGTGACCATATATGTGTGCATTTTCTTAAGGAAAATCTTTGTAATTATTTCCAAACTGAGACTTTCTGTATTCACTTTATTCTTTGGTAACATGTTAAATTTTTCAGAATTGATAGGATACCAGTATGTACTAAATAATACACCATGGCCCTATAAAACTATCAAAATAAAAGAATGAAGTTATCAAGATTGCAACATTCCTTAGAATATTTATAAGTCATAACTTTTATAGATGAGAGCATGTTTATGCCGTAGACACTGACCTATTAAATAGATTAAGCTAGGGACATAGTTTGATAGTTGTGCTGCTTAAATTGGCTTAAGTATAGGAATGTACTAGTGCCTAATGCCTTATAACATGACCTACAAGTCCAGCAATGACTGAGCAAATAAAAACAGAAGTAGTATTGGTCATAGATTCAGTTCTAGCATCAAGTTGGAATGAAAAGTTCATGCGTTCTCCATCTTAGGTTGCAGTTTCTAATACAGCCTGGGGTGAGTGAGGGAGGAAATGCACGGAGGAGAAATATTCTCCGGGAGATCTCATCCTGGCTGCTGTGTCCTTCCCCAGGATCTGTCACTGCGAAGGGGATGAAGAGAGCCCCCTCATCACGCCCTGTCGCTGCACGGGCACCCTGCGCTTTGTCCACCAGTCCTGCCTCCATCAGTGGATCAAGAGCTCAGACACGCGCTGCTGCGAGCTCTGCAAGTATGACTTCATAATGGAGACCAAGCTCAAACCCCTCCGGAAGGTACAGTATCTGCAAGGATTGGTTTGAAAGTGATCACTTGCAAAGCAGGCGTGCTTTATAATGTTCTTTCCCCAATAAGATCTTGCTAACATGCTAGTATCCACGAAGAGTACATGTCTCACGTTGGGCTCAATATTTAAAATGCAGCCAAGTGTTTTCAGATAATCCTTGTTTCTTCTCTGTTTTATTTCTAGGGCTTCTGATTTTTTTTTTTTATTGTTAGTTTCAGGTGTACAGAGCAATGCAATAGTTATCTTTTTCACCCTTCACACAGAAACAATCCCCCTCTCCCATCGACTGCCCTCCCACCCCCAATAGGGCCTATGATTTTTATATTACTCTTCAAAATTAAAAAAAAAAAGTGTATGTATATGCACAAAATATACTTGTAATTCAGTGTAATTGAATTGATGGGAACTGTGAGAGCATTGTACTTTAGTGAGATCAATTTCCTAGAAGTTTAGATAATAGATGACATTAAAGAATATGAACTCATCTAATTTCTTGAAAGTTGGGCATTAATAGAAGAGAATGATTTCTTTTATAAGATGTGGACTCTTTTTTTGTGTTTGCTTTTATCTGGGGATTTTGTCAGATGGTTTATGTATAATTAGAATAGATAGAAAAAGTGTTATGTTCTATATTGTGCATCAAGCTGTAAGAGAGAGGTGAGTATATTTTTAATCTATAAACTTAATCTTCAAATTCCCCATTTATGTTATATTTTTTCTAAAGAACGAAGGTAAGAATATGCGTCAAGCATAAAGTTAGCATCTCACTCAAAGCTAGCAAAGGAAAACTTGTAAAGGATACAAAGACAATGAACTTCATGTAATTTATACCTGATAGCTGGGCCCCTGGATTTTTTCATGTAATGTATTCATCTTTTTACCTAACTGCAGCCTTCTATATATGGATGTCTCAATTGCCAAAAGAGAGTGTGGAGACTGCAGTTTAAATAATGAATCTGCCTAGAGCTGCTTTTTCATTGAAATTAAATGTAAAGAAAAAGTGGATAAAAAGAACATTGCTTGGAAATAAACACGATGCATTCCGGGATGAGCAGAGATGTAAAGCAAACAAGAATATTCCAATAGGCATCTAATTGGTGGTTGGCCATTGCGGTTCTTCATTAAATCTGTAAATTATGGAGAGGGAGAATAGTGTTCCCTGTTTTTGTAATAGCCTTGATGTTAAAAATCAGCAAATGGCTTAGAGATGTCAAAACTGATGCACAAAATGCCTTTGGGATGCACATTGTCTTTTTTTTTTTTTAACATATGGGGTGACTTGAGTGCCATAAGGTGACAACTCTGTTCCTCTGGCCCCAGAGCAATCAAATGCCAGAAATAGAAATGGACCCTTATTCCTCGCCCTTTGCTTTATCCACTGAACAGATGCTGTGTGCTGTCTGGAGTAGCTCAATGACACGTTGTGCTCCATAATTTTATAAATTTCTCTTCTAACCCCTCAGGGAACTACAAATTCTTTCATAGCATCTGTATATTTCTCCATGCTTTCTTTTCTTAACCTACATCTATATAAAATTTTCATTTCAACTTTGTCAAAACTAATATTTCAATTTGAGAGCAACAATCTAGGATAATAAAATATTTACATTTTCTCTTAGTCATACACACTACCTCACTCACCCATTTTTTTTTTAATAAATAATCCATGATGCTGCATGGAGCTTGAATCTTTCTTATTCTACCTTTAAGCTTTTCTAGAATAACCCTTTATATACAACTTTGATCCTTTCTTAGTATTCCAATCCCAATAATGTACAACCCTATCAGAAAATCCTTTATTTTTTAACTAACCTGTTCAGAAATTAGAGCAATGCAGTGAGTACATATATTTTTTTAATGAATATGAATATTCATTATATACTAAGAAGATAATGAATGTCTTGTTAGTAATGAATCTGTGGCAGCAACTTAGTGGGGCACCTACTATCTGATGATTAATGAAATACCCTAGCTAAAAAAAAATTCCTTTGTTCAGTCATAAATATTGATGAAGGATAGCATGTCAACATCCTTCATTTTTAATAGAATTTATATATCTACAGAGGATTTTAGAATCTAATGCAAAGGCTGCTTTCTGACAGCCCACAGATGTGTTTTATCTGACCCACAGAGCTTAAAATTTAATTAGTTACCAAAATTTAATTATGTAATTATTTTGTGTAAATAATCCACATATCTCCATTTGAAAATGACTGTATCTGGTTTTACTGGCATCGCATCTCATAGGACAACACCCAGTGGAGCTAAATGATGGCTAGCTACTTTAAAAGGCTACTTGCTTTCAATTTCTTCACATTTCTCATCCTTGTCTCTCTTTCTGCTCCTGAAACATTGCTCCATCTCCCCACATCTGAGTACCTCTGTGGCTCTAGTGTAGGGATGTGAATTTTCAAATCCTGATCTAACACATGAGTCCTACACATGAGAAACATGCATTCTAAATCCCTCCCTCTAGGATTTGTGGACTTTAAAAACCTAGAAGAAAAGTATTCCAAACTTCTATTGTCTCCTGTAGACCTGTGAAGCACCAGGGTAATACTTAAATGGCTCTATCTAAAATGACTTTTCATTCTGAGATGCTACAAATTATATAGATATGAGGAATTTTTAAATTGTTCTAGATGATTTGCTTTGATGCCACTAAGATTCATCAATATGTTTCTTTAGGGGTTTTTTAATGGTCATTAAGAATGACACATGGGCCGGCCGAGTGGCTCAGTTGGTTAAGAGCTCGCTCAAGGGTTTGAGCTCTGAGCAACAGCGGTTCGAGTCCAGCCCGAGCTGAGCTGCCGCTGAGCTGCCAACAGGTGGCAGGATGGCTCAGCTAAAAAAAAATTTTAAAAAATTTAAAAAAGAATGACACGCATAGCATTTGGTTAGAATATATTCAAAGTACATCCAATTAATTGCTCTCAACTCAGTAATGCCATTGCAGTTTATAATGTCCTAAAGACCAACCACAGGAAACAATCTAGCCAATGATTTTGAATTTCTACCACTAGGCTATGGAGGCAGGAGATTCTGTTTACATGAAATGGCTTCTTAAAGTAGAAAAGTATGAATCTTCATAATCTGACAAATTGGGGCTTAATAGTTAGTCTGTAAAGATATCAATAAAACCTTACTTCATTAATTTCTACCATTCCTATACCAAAATCTATAGTTAGTAAATTCATCAAGGTATCCTAATGTTTCCAGAAGAAAATCTTTAAAGTCTAAATAAAATCAAGAGCTTATTTGAGAAAAAAGCAATTTTCATCATCTTTAAGTCAGTAGTTCAACTACTTTTATAACACTCCAGAAAAGTCCCATTAATCAGCTGAGTTACCTGGGTCAGAAATAGTTCTCAGGGTCTGGAGAAGTCAAAAATATAAAAAGCAGAGTGACAACTCAGTGAAATTTGGAAATGGACACAATTATCAGCTAGGAAGCATAAGCTAATCTGTTCTGAAGCTGAAGAATTACATGAGGTGTAGGTTTGAATGACTCCTGAATGGGAGAAACCAGCTCCTGGAGATGAAGCTAAGTTTGAGGACAGCAAATGCTACCAACAACCGTATGTCCTCCCCTAAAATATTTCTTTATTATATAGTTTTCCATATACAAACTATTTGACAAATATGTAATAGAAAATATTCAACTCTAAGTATCCATGTACTTGTCTCATTTCTACAAATAAAATGAGGCATGAATCAACTACCTTTGCTTTAGTAATGATTAGGTTGGACCATTATGCACTTGTCATTTTTGCAGATCCAAAATAGTTGAATATTGGAAAGTTCATAAAATAAAAGCTTGTGTGAACTTACTGTGTCAAAAACAAATGAGTAATAATTTTAATATTTCTACATTTCCACCATATGACTTACAATGCTTTAGTTAAAATTATGTATTAAAAAAATAAAGAATTGTAGTTGATAAACACTATGTGAATTCCTTGCTTTCCTTAATTTGACGTAGCATCCCATCTTTCAAAAAAGCCAAAAGCCAATGCAAGTTACTGTAGCAAGTCAACTGCCCAAAGGTTGTTATTGATTCTCTGTTAAGCTGGAGGTCTTGCAATTCATAGCTTTAAAATTAGGGCAGGAAATGTGGTCAGATTCCTAGCGAGGGTCTTCCAGCACCCTACTGAAAAATCACACATAAGAGAAATTAAAAATGCATCATTTACTTAGCATTATGGGGGATTTGCAATTTCATTAATACAACCACCACATCCTGAATTTTTACTATGTGCCAGATATTTAGAATATATAGCTTAATTAATTTAAATCCTCATTACAACCGTATTTTATGTAGGCATACATAAGCCCATTTTACAAATGAGGAAAATGAGACAGTATCAAACTTTAATATCGCATACTCCAAAGCTCCCTGATTCTAAAGCTTGTGTTCTTTGCACTGTGACTTACTGCCTTAAGTAGCTGAGACCCTCTTACTTTAAGCATCAAAAGTTTAGTGTTTATTTAAACCATTTCTAATGGAAATCTTTCAAAATAAATGTGTATAAAATATTTTTCCAAAAAGTTTCTTCTTAAACACGGATGGTTATTTTACCCAATGTATTTTCCTAATACTTAGCTACATCATTTTATAAACATCAATTATTTTGCAGGCTGAAAAACATTAATAGCCTCTATAACTTAAAACACATATAAGGCTGTTTATCTTCATTGTGCTTCCACCAGTCTGCTGTGTTTTGAGAGCCTTTCTGTCCCCTTTTGTGTTGTTTCTTCCCTGCCCTAAGAGCATCCACTGTGACTTCTCTGTTCCTCCAATAGCCCTTATTCAACATTTTACATAACTACTGCTTTTCTACCTTAAATAACAACAACAAATCAAGGGTTGTAAAATTAGGGCTATAAAAAGTGGAAGTCGGTTCTAGATGAACTTCTGCAAGATCGTTGGCAAGAGTTTTAGTGGGTATGAACATTCTGGTGTCATTCTGGGATTCTTGGAGTTCTCTTT